GAAGGGCTACCAGGGATTTTGAAATTTTGCGAGCCCTGAGATAAGGCTATTTAATTTTTTGTATGTTATGTTCACTCAGCCCCCATTTGTTCAGGCACTGATATTTTCGGAAGTTTCTTTATTGGCACTATGTTTTATTGGCTAGAGAAATATTGGATGAATAGAATCGGGCTACCCTCAGTTGCACAGCTCTGTATCTAGAATCAGTCTCTTGGAGACAAAGCAGAGTGCTAAGCATGGCAGGACAGCATTAATATACACTTTATTTATCCCAAAAGTTATAGACCAAAATCAAAAAAGAAAACGAGAGACAGAGGGTAATGCCCACCGGATCTGTCACCACAAGATGAGGACATCATTATACTTATCGCACAGACCACAGCTATCAAATTCAAATTGACCTTTTTTTATGGTACATTTTCTCACTTCAAACATTTGATAACATAAGCTCCAGGCAGCGTGCAGTACGACTGATGTTATATCTTAAGTGGATGCTATAGAGATTGTATCAGTTCCCGGTCTCTCTAATCGGCAGCTATTGGGGGTTTACCCCAATAGCTGCCTGCCGGGGAAGTGTTGGGTGAAACTGTGAATGAGGTGCCAGTGTTGCTCATGGAGAAAGGGAATTTATGCTCAGGAGTTTAAGAAGCAAAACAAATGTGACTATTGCAGTGTGTACTGTGCATTAGATGTACAGGAGTGATTTCCTGTGTCGTTCAGTGGTGTATTTGTGTAATCTCAGTCTCTCACTGGACATGCTCCTGTTACTGGCCAGCATGTCATGAAGTGGGTGGGAGGTATTGTCCAATATTTTCCTTATCTTGGGCAACATCTGCCTCTCCGAACCCAACTTCAGGGGATCCAGCTCCGTCCCCACAACATTACTGGCCTTCCGGATCAGTTTATTGAGTCTGCGACCCTCAACCTGCTGCCCCAGCATGCAATAGCTTAGATGATAGCACTGACCACAAGAGACAATCTTGGCCATTGTCCAACAGATGTTGAAAAACCTCAGCTGCCTCAGAAAATAGAGACGACTCTGGCCCTTCCTGTAGAGGGCAGTAGTGTTTTTAACCCAGTCCAGTTTATTATCGTTGTGTACTCTGAGGTATTTAAAGTCCTTCACAATGTGAGAATTTAATGGCTGTTTTGCTCGAATGTGCTGTGACTTTCAATGACTCAATTTTCTGTTACTTGGTTGTGTCTTTTTTTTTCAAGGACACTGCTAGATAGCTTTTACATTTTCATGTATTTTTCACACAAGACAGACAAACAGATAATATGTTATATAATAATAATAATAATAATAATAATAATAAATTTCAAAAAGGTAGTAAAGAGATTTAAACTTTACTGGTAATTCTTCTATCAAAATAAAATAAAATAAAAATCCTCAGCTTCATAAGTCATAAACAGGCAAGAGAAACTTCAAGTCACCCATGTCTGTCCATACATCAGTTTGTTCGCAGCTACCGAACGTTCAGCATCGACTAAAAAGAATTTGGAAACTTCTAGCAGGATTCAACAAATGCAAGAGGAGAAAAGTGCCGAAACGATTAAAATGAAACAATTTACAGAAATATTGAAAGACAAATAAAAACAGGACAAGAAAAACAGAAATGCAGTGCAAGGTCCAAGACATGGAGAAAAACAATGAAAGCCTGCAAGTGATGTTTGATGAAATGCTGAAAAGAAACACATAACTTTTAAAAGAGAAGGAACAGCAGAAGGCTATACACCAAGAAATGCAGTTCAAACTCCAAGACATGGAAGCAATACATCACGAGACGCAATCCAAGCTCCAAGTCACTGAGAAGAAAAATTAAGGCCTCCAAGTAATGTTGATAACCACTGAGGAGAAACACAAATGCTGAGCCAAGAAATGCAAGCTCTGGGATATCCAAAAAATACACCAAGAGATGCAGCGCAATAATGAAGGCCTCCAAGTGATGTTTGATGAAGTGCTGCAAAGAAAATGCTTAAAGACGAGGAACAGCAGGATGCAACACACCAAGAAATGCAAGGCAAACTTTGAGACATGGAAGCAGTTCACCAAAAGATGCTGTGCAAGCTTCAAGCCACTGACAAAAAAAATGAAGGTCTGCGCTTAATGTTTAATGAAGCACGAAGAAGAAACAAGGAAATGTTGAAAGGAGCAACAGGAAGCAATACACAAAGGGATTGCGTGCAGGCTTCAAGACACCGAGAAAAACAATGGTTTGCATATCATGTTTGATTAAGCTCTCAAAAGAAATACACAAATGCTTAAAGCGAAGGAACAACAGAATTCATCAAAAGATGCAGTGCAAACTCCATGACACAAAGATAAAAATGGAAGCACTGCAGGAAGTCTTTGATAAAGCACTTCAAGAAAATGCAGACGTGCTAAACGAAAAGAAACAACTGGAAGAAACCCAGAAAGACGCAGCAGATTCTCCAAGACTTTGAAACAAGGAAGGCAGAATCGCAACTAGTTTACAATGACGTGAAGCACAAAAACACTGAAGTCGAGGAAGAGAAACGGCAACTAGAAAAAATAAACCATAAGGATGAAATAATTTGCGGATTTCTTTCTTTCTAAAAGTTTCAGGGACTAAACAAAATGCAGATGTACTTCTAGGTTTTAGGAGGCAAAGAAGACAAATAGGCACCATATTATTTTACATGCATTTTTTATAAAACATGCATTTAATGCACATCATGATCATTGATAAAGATCATTGAAGACCTGCTGGCATTAAAAAATAATCAAAAGGATTAAAATGATTCTTTTTAACGTTTAAAAAAAGCTTTCTCGGTAATCTATTTAGTTCCCTGAGCTTACATTATCCACATTTGTTGCCTAAAAAAACCCAGGCAGAGCTTACTTAAAATGTGAGATTTCAGTTACTTGACCTGAATGCCGATTGGCCTGGAGAAGGTGACTGGACTAGACCAGTGATTACACAAACAGATTGACAGTATGAGAAAGTGATGAAGCTTAGATTTAACTGGCAACACCTGTGAGCGCACAGATGTGAGGCCATAGATCTTCCTTATTGAACTTGCGCATAAACTTCATTTAAAATATAAGTAAAATAGTAGTAATTTTATATAAACTTATATAATATGTAATAAAATATATATAATATATAATAGTGTAATATTATTTGGTTTGGTTGTGCTTAGGAAAAGAGAGAATATGTTATTGCATAAAAAAGCACTGATCACATCTTGCAAACATTTGCTTTGCCAGCTGATTCTGTGGCTCGTTGCACCCAGACTGGCAACAAAATCAGGACTCCAACTTGTTGGCCTGGTGACTCAGACAGGCTCTCCTCCCTACAGTCCTCATTTATAAAGTGCTTTTAAAAACTAATATTACAGCTAACAGATGGCGTGCAGGTAGAACAACAACGTATAACCACTGACTGCTGAAGAGACTCCAATTTTTAGTTTAAGTGTTTATACATTTAGTATTTCCTGTCCTGTCCTCTTTAAGCTAACTAAGTTAGGGAAACTTAGTTATTGTGAATTATTCTCCTGTAGCAGCTCTACCCACAATGCAAAGGTATCGCGTCACAAACAGAAACACAGTTATGGAAACAACTGCTGTGTACAACGTTTGGTACAGGAGGTTTTTGATATAGACTGAAAGTGTGAGGGCTCAGTGGTTGGCACTGTGCCCTCACAGCTTGGTGATGCAGGGTTCAAACCCATAAACCATAAACTGTTGATTCACAACAAAATCAATGATTCACAAAATGTGAGAATGCACACAGACTTCTGTACACTAAAAGAACAAAATCAGAGGTATTTTATTTCACAGTTTATTATTCAGTGAGTTTACTGTCAGGTCTACTTAAGGCATTCACGAGGCTCACAGACTAAAATGAGATGACACCTAAAAGCTACACCAAAACTAGAAGCAATGCATATATTAAAACATGGATACATTAGCATGTGGGCGTTGTCTCTTGCATGAATGAAGACTCCTATCAGTCTAAT